GGGGGCATTAGTGAAGAAGAGGAGCAAACTCTGTTAATATTAGGGTTCGATGATATTCTGTCTAGTGTTCTAATGCTCCGCTGCACACTAAACGTAATTGTCTCTTCACATTAAAGACCCTATGCATTCTTTTGCTGCAGTTTCCACACTTATATCAAGCCTATTGAGAAGGGAAGAGCAGCTGAATATTGTGGTGACCCACAATATTACATTTTATTATTAAAAATACCTACACACATTACTGTGTACATATATACAGTGTGTGTATATATATATATATATATATATATATATATATATATATATATATATATATATAGCGTGACTACCATCACTTTAGCTGCAAAAATAACTACATCCCGTCACCCCTTTTCTTGCTACACTGTCCCAATAATAACTTTCACACAGGCCCCAGTCGTCCGCCATTACCGCTATTAGATTTCTCACTGTAGCCTCTTGACTTCCTTTGGCCTATTAGAAGAAAACCATGCCGAGGTTGCGCTCAACATCTGGCATGAACATCCCGACTGAAATTAGAACATTTTAATGGCGAGCGCTCACAGAGACAATTATTTTTGCAGGTGTGATTCATTTTTTCTTTAAATTGTTTCCTACCGGCTTTTTGCAAATCTCTCCTTAAGAGAATTACACCGCCATGACAGCTCGACCACACGCAGCCATTTCTATGTAGGGTAAGGTACCGAGAACCGCAACTGAATGTGAGTGCAACATCCCCCAGAAGTCATGAAATCCAGGCTGTACGTGTGTGTGTGTCTGAATCATGTTTCAGGCTCTTCTCTCATTGCATTAGTGTGACTTGGCTTTAAATGCCTAAATTCTCATAAATACTTCACGCGAATGCTATTTTAGCTCCATCTCACCGACAGTAATGCATTTTTCATACCTGGCCCAAATACCTGCCACCTGTTACATATCCCAGTAAACCCCCCCCTCCCCGGATCTCCCCTCCGCTGGCTATAAAACACTTTTCCTCTCGCTTATGTAACCAAAAGCTGATGATTCCAGGAAAAAAAATCTCATGAGCGACTTTCCAGATATCTCTCCTCTGGGGAAGAGAGACCCCGGGTCAGAGGATGTAGTACACTGTCACAACTGTCGTCTAAAACTGTAATGGCCCCTCCTCCGGCCTCCATCTAGTCCCCGCAGAGCGGGTTTGATGCTTCCTTACTACCAGCCGGCCCACCAAACAGCGCACGGCCAATGGCCTACATTACTGGGCCTACTTAGGTGACGTTTACCAGCGCATGGAAGGGGAAGAGCTCGTGAGGAGAGACGGAGCCAGCGAGTTCTTCTCTGCTATTTGTGGGAGAGACAATGTCGTTGAGTCCGTTTGTGGGATCTTTGGGAGCGGACAGTAAAAGCTGCCTTAGCTAAGCCTTCTAAAGCGCCATCTGGCAGCCTGGGCCCCCGTGTCACCCTACTCACCAAGATTACATTCTCCCCTGGCTCTCTATCCTCGTCCTGTCTCCTCCCCTCCTGTCCGCTCGACGCTCTCTCCCCTCGCCGGCCGACACAAACACAGAGAAGTGGAGCTGCAGCCACCCGCAGCTCTCACAGCTTCTTAAGAGTCTAGATTAATAATGAGCGAGGAATCATTTTAGACTTAAGAGGGAGAATTAATTTGGATTTATTATTTTGGTTTCAGAAGAATTGCCAGCCAGTTGAAAAAGCCTTTTCGATTTTTCACAAGCGTTTCCATTGAAAGAATATTTGGAATGCACAGAGATGTTTGTGGGTCTGACTCAAACTAAAGAGCTATTTCGAGAAATTAATTAGGTTCTCTTTCTCTCTTTATTTCTTTTTTTCTGTCTTAATCTACTCATTTATTTACTTATTCACTTATTGTTGAACCGTGTTCATTGTGTGGAAGATGTGGGCATTAACCATTCAGGGTGAGTGAGTAAGGAAAGGTGGTGCTGCATTATCAGGCTGGTATGCAGCATTTTCTGAGCTTGCACGTACACACAGAAGTGATCTTTACAATGTGGTAGAGATGCTTTTTACTTAAAGCAAAGGCTTTGAGTGCGTCCTCCACCAGTGCTGGCAGCGTCTAAGAGCAAACATTAGCATTTAACAGTTGGCACCAGTTGACATGTTTTGATGTGGTTACACACCTGAGGCTGACAGATGCACACTGTGATGCGTGTGAGAATTTGTCAGCGTTGTACGAATCAAGACTTTGTTTTGGCAGAAATTTTTGCAGTGACTTTGCAATTTCTGAATAACAAGAGTTGCAGTCAAGTCCAAGGTCAGTAAAGTTATGCTGCAGACAAGTTTAGAAGATGATTTAAAGCCTCGAGCTCAACCAGAGTGCACGTTTCTGTCCCCAGCTCTGGCAATGCATGCAAACACTGCATGTTTGTGTGCTTTTGTTGTTGAAAGAAATTCATGTTTTTTTTTGTAACAGATACTGAAAACATCTGCAGTATTATAGAAAAAAATCCTTTAAGCAGGGGATTCTGGCTACACTCAAAAGACTCATGATTACTTAGGAATCAGATATACCGCTTATAAAAAAGACTGAAGCACTTGCATCCCGCTACAATGACACAGGATACAGTAGTGCTCTGAAAATGTTCCTTCCGTTTTCCCTAAGCATGTCATTTTTAATACACCGATAAAAATAGCTTCCATTTTTCCACATCCATTAGTTGAGACTAAACAGCAGCTCCAGGTGATGACACAAATACATTTCCTGTCCTTTCACCGGGTCTCACGTGGACTCACTGATTGGCTGCTGAAATCGTCTGATTTGTGACAAGCGGGGTTGTGTTTCTGTGTAGCACAACGCGACATCGTACACTCTGTTGTCCCGGGAGAAAACTCGGGTTGTTGAGGTCCACGCAGCCCGCTGTCTATTACGGGGACGAGGGTATAAATATGACTCATCTGCTGGCTTTGTACGTTCACAAACTACACGTCTCGGCTGTTGCTACTCCATAGAAACATGTTAAAAATGCTAAAAATATCTATTTGTATGCGTTGGTGTGAAATGTGCCTCATCATAGATGGCCCAGAGAGCATTAATCACCAAATGACGGGAGAACACAACATTCAGTAGCACCCTCCCACCCCCCACATTTTTTCTTGAAATCACCAAATACATGTGCGGTGTGAGTAATGGCTTGGCACGGCTTAGGAAGAGATGATTTAATTGTGTCGGCATGAAGATGATGGGAGACTAATCCTTTGCATGCTCAGGGAGATGTGAAGAATTCGGCCATGTTGGAAGATCAGTAACCAGCAAGCAATGTGTTTTTAGAAGATGAGGACTCGTCATCCGCTTGACGGACGGACGTACCCTGAACTTGTGCTTCTGGAAGAACAAATTTTCAGATGTACACACACAGGCACCGGCAGAGCAAACGTCATGACTGCCGCTTTAACAGTCTTCAGGATGCCATTTCGGCTGGACAGATGGCATCATGCAAGTATGACTGTGGAAAGGTTTATAGGCCCATTTACAGAAAAGCTCCTGTCCTGCCATAGCATTCATTCGACGCACTGCTACAATATTCATCTTGCAAATGTGAATTTCCCGCAACTGAAAGTCATAAAATCGGATGGGCTATGTGGCATGTCAGCCAACGTCGGCGGATTCGTCAAAGCGCGCTGGCTTACATGTCTGTGCGGAAGGGGAACAATCATTTAATGTGAGGCGATGAAAGCAATATGATCTTTGAACTCTCACTGCACGCGCCACAGATTTATTGCCGTGGAAATGTTGACATTAACGCGTTCCATCACCGTTTCCTCGCAATATTTGGGAAAAGATGTTACCTCAATTTTAGACGTAACGGGCGGGTGAAGAGCAGCAACAACAACAACATTAGTTCATTATTTGCTTTTCCCTGTTCCCATCTGACAAGAATAACACAATTTGTGTCGTCCTGGTAATGCTTAGAGGGGATAACAGTCTGCTCTCCTAGTTGGGTTACATTCTTGTCGTGGGACAATACAGATACTGGACTCCTACTGGTCAGATTGGATCGAGGTCCATGAGAAGATGTCCCTGCTCCTCAATGGATCCTCGATCGTCAACATGAGTTCATGGTCTCAATCTCTAGTTTGAAGTTAACTAGTTAGTTAGCTAGTCTGTTTTCCAATTTGCATACTACTAATACTATCTAATATCCCAGAAGAAGATTTACGATGTCCTCCTACATAATGTGTCAAATGCAGTGTGCCTACGTACACGTAACATACAGTGTGCAAACTATCAAGCTTTTCTGACCCACAATCCTTTGCGCAGCAGGTTACTGCATGTTGCAGTACAACCACACAAAGGCCAGAGTACGGCCACTTCCCATGAATACATACCGACACACACACACACACACACACAGGTGGGCGCAACTAAATAATTAATAATCGGCGGTCGAACACATTAAACAAACATATGCAAGCACCACTTTCCGTCGGCAACACTGTAATTAGTCGGCCGCTCGTCTTTGGAAGACTCCGTGAAAAGAGCGCGCGAGAGAGAGAGAAAGCAGCAGGGAGGAAGAGACGGGGCTAAAGGGAGAGTTATAGGGAAAGGGAGTGATAAATGATGGATTGAGAGAGCTCCAGTTAGACCCCGAGGTTACCAGAGTGAGGGAGTTACAGCTGGCTAGCTCATTCCGCCGAGCTACAGATCTCATAATAAACATCACATGGGTAGTTTGGGCTGCCGGCTGCAGATTAAGCCAGAGCTGCTAGCGCTTTAAAGACTGCTCAGTGTTCCAGGCAGCCAAGAACCTATTTATATGTTGGCTGGAAGTGTATCAAAGCAGGTAGGAAGGGAAGGCGCCGATTCCCAGCTGATTTATGTTGCTCAATCAGTGTAACTGTCAACTAACGTGCCACTTTTATTTGTAATGTACGGTGCTGCGCTCCTAATAAAGCTGTGTTTATTTCTCCCGCCCTGCCCCTGTTCCTCCCCGTCCCCGTCCCCCCCTCCTCTTCCTTCCTCTGCTCCTTTCCGCGTCGCGGCGCAGAGCTGCCCAGCAGTCCAGGTGGTCAGTTCACGTTCCGCCCGCTGCCCCCGCCTCCCCCGCCGCCGCACGCCTGCACCTGTGCCCGCCCGGCGCCCTACACCCAGGTCAGCCTGCAGAGGAAGACCATGCCGACGCGGTGCCAGGCCAGCCAGGGCGGCCAGGGGCCAGACACAGGCGCGAGCACAGACCAGGCCCAGCTTCACAACAGCTGGGTACTCAACAGCAACATCCCCCTGGAGACCAGGTAAGAAAAATGGGCCTCCAAGGTTGATTCTAACGAAGCGATTTAACAAAAAAAAAATCAATGTTTTATTCAAACAAATGAACAAAGAGAGTTCAAGGATTTGGAACAATTGGGCGGCTTCTTTCCAAAAAGGCTTTCAGTCCTGATGTGGTCAATATGTCACCCCCCCGTCCTCGCCTCCCCCCTGAATGAAAACATGCTCAAGGCAACCTGCCCTGCTCCAACATAGTGTCACTCCATTAAAGACATTTCCTTTCATGTCTCTCAAATGAGGCTCATTAGATTTGAGACATTTATTTTGCAGGAGTTCAGGATACACTTTCACAATTTCGCAAAGAAAAGAAAGAAGCGAGTGGAGTGATTAAGAATGAATGTTGGACTAAAGGATTTGTGAGGAAAGGATGTGTTGTCACACTTAGGAAGCAGTAAGTGGAGCGCCACGCAGGCCTCTGGGGTATTATTACAGGACTTTGCACACCGTCAAAGTCATAAGGAATCTCTACGGGTTCTTGGGCTTCTCATCATTTTCTTACCGCCCACTGTGGACAGAGCTACCAGGGGACCGGTGTCTTCGAGTTTCAACTACTGAAAATAAAAAGTGTAAGTCAGTGTCTAGTAAGGATCCACTTCTCAGGAACATATCATGACTCCACTTCCAATTGTAGTGCCCGAGAATCTTTTGTTATTTTTAAAGTTCCCAAAGATGCTGGAATTTGGTCCCATCAAACAGAATTAAGCATTTGCCTGTGCATAAGTGATAATTGATCAGAGAATTATTTAGGAGATATTCATTTGTGAGGCCGCTTCGGAGAAGGAGCAGCAAGGTGCAAAAGAATACGTTTGCATGTTTAATGAGAGCCTGATGCGGCAGCTGAATTCTGGTATTATGAGTGAGGGTGAGATTGGCAGGCGGCCCCAGCAGAGGAAGAGGTTTTAATAAGTTATGCATTGGGCCATAATTAGATCTTACCTCATTTAAAGGAAGGGAAGAATAGAATTAGATTCAGTGACAATTTAAATTAATCATTTGCCAGACATGTTGTAAGTGCGTTGTAATTACAGTACTTATCCAAGTGTTTTTACCTCAAATGAAAATCCAGCGTAAATACGACTTTTTTTTCTTTTTCTTCGTGAGTGCATTTCAAATCATTCAGGCAATATTTGCTGTACATGAAGACGTCTCTCTCGAAGAGAAATGTGATTAAAAACACAATTTTGGCAACATGCTGGCATATTGGACGGTGACTCTAGTCTTGATGCATTTTTGCTTTTGGGAATTTTTAGTCAAATAGGATTCATTTGATAGTGGGCTATTAGTTCTGAAACATAAAATGTAATCACAAGCACAGTCAATAGAATAGTGCTCCCTCGTAACATAATTCTGACGTTATTAGCTCTCTTCTAGCTCGCTTTGGGCGGTGGGGAAGACAAAGTCCTCACTGCTCAAGTGTTTGGGGTTGTATTTTATATTCAAGCACACTCTCTCTCTCTCTCTCTCTCTCTCTCTCTCCCCTCTGTCACACTGCTGATCTAATGATTTCATATTTCTGCTCTAACCCTGACGCTGCTGCTATCGGGCTCAATCTCAGGCGTGGGATTAAGGATTTATCAAGTGTTTACAAAGTTGACAGGGGGCCTCACGCTGATGGAATTAGAAACGATGGTGTGACCTTAAGCAGAAATTGTTGAGTATCTCCTGTTGTCAAGAGCACTTCCATATTCTTGGAAGCGTTTTGACGAATCGGTATTGAAACCTATCGACGTTGCGTCAGCGGAGATTAAGATTCGCTGAAGTGCGCATGGATTTCCCTTTCAGACTCGTATCCGTTATGTTTCTGGAGAGGCCGGCCCCGTGCGGCAGATATCGGCGTTCGATGTGCGTGGGTGGGTCTCACGCTGGGTGTGTTAAGAGGCGTAGCAAATGTTGAGGCTTTTTTTTAACAAATTAAAACACAGACACACACTCACTCACATGCAGGTATGAGAGCCCTTGGGCCGTAGACGCCCACCTCCTGGAGAGAGGGGAACTCTCATTTTCTTGCATTCACTGGGGAAATCTGCCCTCTGATATGAATCCAGAGCCTCCTTGGCGTCGCCGCTGGATATTGTCTGAGAAGATCAAAGGCATGCAGCCGGGAAGGAACAGTGAAGCGTTTTTTAAAAGCGCCGCGCAAGACGAACAGAGTTCCACTCCGCGATGACAAATGCAATTTCTTCAGCTGTATTCTGATCCCTTTTGCTCTGATCCACCTTCACCAGAGCAATAAAGAGCAGCGCAGCGCAGCTGACCTGTGCACCCGTGTCCACAATGTGAGAATGCTCACTCGCATTTGACATATCTTTTTGTATGCGAGTCCTGTGGGGGCCTCTCTATATGTGTGTGTGTGTGTCTGTGTGTATGTTTGTTCTAAATTTGTTAGTGGCCTTTCAGGTTTGAACTGCCATTAACCCTCAGGTGTTTCTCCGTGTGCAGCCTCCTGTGTCCCCCATCTGATTCACAGCTCTCTGGGTAGAGGACAGGAGGGGGCGGGGGGGGTGCAGACAGTGAAGGATGGGTGCCATCTGACTGTCTTTTATATCAGCCAACGGACACACAAAAAGAAGAAAGAAACTAGATGGACAAAAAGAGAAAATTATAGAAAACATTCTGCTAAATATGATGTAAAAAAAATAAGCAGATTTTCCCCCCAAAGCAAGATTTGAATGCACTGAAAAATAGTATTTTTCCAGTTTTCAATTTTATCTTAATTTAATGTTTCTCACTAATTGAGTTTTAAAAATCTTGGTTTATGGTTCCTTCAAAGCACTTTAAAGCTTTGGAGTGCTTCTGTATTCAAAAAGTCCCACAGGAAATAACCTTGTCACGCTTCGCCTCAACGTTTTCCTTTGCTAATGTCTCACTGATTTTCCTGCGATTTGCATGACACAAGTGCAACCTCCGGCTTCATCCCGTCATGCAGATCGATTTATCCCGACCGGCAGGACTCGGCTCTTTCTTTCTTAAGAAGAATCCGTCCTCATTCTGAATAGGCGACTAAATGACACGAAGAAGATGGATGTGTTTTCGCCGTGCGCGAGGGCGGTCTTGTGTCCGGCGTCGCTGCATGTCAGTCTGCTGTCTGGCCCCACTTTAATGGCCTGTCCTCCGAGGGCCCTTCTGAGACCGCGGTCCCGCCAGCAGCCTGTGACCTCACACTCTTCGCAGCGTGGATGGAATAACACTCCGGCAAGCTGTGCGCCCCCGACGCGTCGCACTCGCAGCCGGTATTAACCCTCTGAGGGCACACGCTAACCTGGGGCAATCATTTCTTGTCTGTGAATTCCAGGAGCTCCAGGATATATTTTTTTGTTATGAAAAATACACACTGCAGAGGGTAAAATAAAAAAGATCATACCAGCCGAATGTTTCTCATTCTTCTCCAGTAAGGCGTTTGTTGTCCCCACACCAGTAGTTGATGTTCCCGTTAAGATGGAACAGTACTAAGCTGGTACCGCTTTTAAATAGCCACGGCCAAGATTTTTTATTTTCTAAATTGATTTTATTTCCGAACCCCCCCCATATTTCTGCTCCCTCATCTGACACCATCCGGCCCCCCGTCCCCTATTATCCAAACGCGATGTAGATGAAATGCTACCTGGATTAATTGCCCTTCAGCTTACTTTGCTATCATCGCCCGCCATCTAACATGCTCCTTTTCATAATGAAAATGAGCCTCGTCTTCGTTTATCTAATAGAGCTGTATAACTTAAGTAGTCGCTTTGATGAGTCAAAAAAGGAATCGGTAGGTAATTGAGCCTTGGCTGCAGAAGCTTTTGCATTCTGTTTCATATCAGTGCTGCTCTGCATTACAGTAGCTGCTCATCGGGTTGCACAAGGAGAGGAACAGATTTGGGAATCTTCTCTGATGAGGGACTTGGACTGGATGAGAGCTTATCTAATATTCTGCTATGACATCATCTAAAGCGTGCTGTGGGTGTATTACGTTTGTGAGGTGGGGGGGGGGGGGGGTTCTATTGTTTACCTGGCTGTAGTGTACTAATGGTGCAGTCTTTAAAGATTTCACATATATTGCTCACCTCGAGAAAATCATTTGTGGTGCGACAAATTATAAATTGCCGGTAAAGTTGCGGCGCTCTGGGACTTCCTACTTTTCTTCCTTGATTAGTCTTTGATGATGCATCGCCTGCCACTTTAAGAGCCCGCTTAAATTAAAAGCACACACTAATGCAGCCAAACAGTTTGAGGTTTGAAAGGGTTGAATCTCCATGCAGTGAAAAGGAGGCCATTCCATCCTGTGTGTCATATCGGAATCCCAAGCTAGCCTTTGTGTCGTTTAAAAAAAAAACGAGGGGTCTCTACTAAAATCCCACCACCTTGGGGGCCCGCTAAATGAGTTTCAGTTAGGCGTATTTCAGAGCAAGGCTGAACTCCGCTGAGGGCAGGTTATTAAAAATAGCATCCGAATTGGACGCTAGATAACCAAAGTAAGATGATGGCCGAGCTGAGCTAATTTGTGAAGGAATAAAGCACTGTGGTACAGTAAGATAATGTTCCCAAATACACTATGTGATCTGCTTAATGAGACAAAAATCCGTGGTCCCAGAGGAGGCAGGCAGTTTTTGTGGACACTGTGTCCTCTTAAGAATACGAACAGTAACTTACCAGTTGTAACTTCCAGATTAGTCCACACGTCTAAGAGATGTGCATGGGACTGATGCATGGGACTGATGCGTGGGACTGATGCGTGGGACTGATGCATGGGACTGATGCATGGGACTGATGCATGGGACTGATGCGTGGGACTGATGCGTGGGACTGATGCGTGGGACTGATGCGTGGGACTGATGCGTGGGACTGAGGCGTGGGACTGATGCGTAGGACTGATGCGTAGGACTGATGCGTGGGACTGATGCGTGGGACTGATGCGTGGGACTGATGCGTGGGACTGAGGCGTGGGACTGATGCGTAGGACTGATGCGTAGGACTGATGCGTAGGACTGATGCGTGGGACTGATGCGTAGGACTGATGCGTAGGACTGATGCGTAGGACTGATGCATGGGACTGATGCATGGGACTGATGCATGGGACTGATGCGTGGGACTGATGCGTGGGACTGATGCGTGGGACTGATGCGTGGGACTGATGCATGGGACTGATGCGTGGGACTGATGCGTGGGACTGATGATCCATGGGACTGATGCATGGGACTGATGCGTAGGACTGATGCGTGGGACTGATGATGCATGGGACTGATGCATGGGACTGAGGCATGGAACGAGGGTGGTGTAATGGCTGGACGTTTTCTGTCCATCCATCCGTTTTAGTCTGCACTATATTCATTTCTTCATGTTTTGCACAAACGTCTACTTGAAATCAAGGAGCAGCTGGTCAGAATTTGGTGGCGGAAGGTCAGTGTGACCTCAGAAAACACGTTTTTGGGCTGGAGCTACAGAATTACTGTGTTAAGTCTGACAGTTTCTGTAAAATGGGATAAAATTATCAGGTGATGACAGTTTTGGCAAAGATGGATGTAAACCAGAGATGACAGGGTGGAAACCATAAAAAGGTTCTTTTTAAGCCTTTTGAAAGCAGATGAAGCGTATGGAGTGGATTAAGGTTTGTATCAGCTCTAATGCCCCCATTAGTATTTTCAGCTCACAAGTCGCCCAACAGTGTTGCTCCCAAGGCAAAGCAGCACATTATGAAGTAACAGCTTGACTTGGTGTTGTCGCAGGTTATTTCCAAAAAGCTTTGTCCATGTAAGCAGATAGTTAATGGTTTCAGGGTTTTGCATTCGCATTAGCAGATGTGTCTGCCGTCATTAGCATTAATAAGGCGAAGAAGCACATTTAATAAGGAACAGCACGAGTTGGTGTATTCACAGGTAATGTTTAAGAAAAGATTTATTGCAGAGAGTTCATGGTTTCAGTGTTTCGGGTAGCAGCCGCTCTAACTCCAAATTAAATAAAGAGAGTGGTATTTATTTGTATTTTCTGGAAGTCTGCAATCCAGTGAACCCAGCCACAACTGAACACATTGTCATCTGAGTCGTTCCTCTTGTAACGGAAAAGCAAAATAATGTTTCTAACGAGTAAGCTAAACAGCCGGACAGGAAAGTATAATTCTTTCAATATTTATTCTTCGTGATTAATTAACTGGTGAGCGTCAAGTTAATTTCCTAAATCAACTAAATGAACGACAGCTCCAAAAAAAGGGGGGGCGTGTGTATCTCTCGTCTTGGGAAGGCGGTTTGTTTATAAACAGAGGCTCCCCACCGCCCCCCCGCAGGGCTCGCTCCATTACTTTGGGTGAGCCAGGTGGTCAACGAGAGCAAACCACCGACCTGAACGGCGTCGCCTTCGACTCTGCGTCCAGTTCTGTTTTTAAACATCCTCTTTGGCTCGAGCCGCCTAACTCAACTCCTCCAGAGCCAACCGACTGGCTCTTGGATTTATTTCACCCCTTTCAGCAGCAATAACCCAATTTTTAATTCATAATAATAATTTATTTATACCCCAAATGTGCAATACTGGCCTCGGTGTACTTTTGCAATCATTCATCTGCACTGCACTGATTTGCTCTGGTGTTAATACTGAATTTACATTCTACAAAAGTAATATTCATAACCATACCATTCCTGAATTTTAAATACTTAATCATTTCCGCTCTCATAATTTACACTGTATTGTATTAAACATATGTTCACATATTTTCTATTTCAATTATTTACACATTTATTGTATTATATATGGTTTTACAAAGCACACATTTGACATAAGTACTTCTATTGTTCTCTCACTTTATGTTTGGAGGCCTATTTGTATTCAAAATAGAACACAAACAATTATTTCTCCCCGGGATCAATAAAGTATTTCTGACATGATTTACAGGCGTACCAGCAGTAATTTAAGGAGGAGCGGATTATCGAACAGTCATTCAATTCCCTCTTTTGTTTCTGCTGCAGACACTTCCTGTTCAAGCAGGGCTCCGGATCATCGGCTCTCCTGTCGGGGGCGGGCCAGGGTTACCCGCTGACCTCTGGGACGGTGTACTCGCCTCCGCCCAGGCCGCTCCCGCGGAGCAGCGTGACCAGACCGCTGTTCACCTTCAACAAGCCTCATCGCTGCTGCAACTGGAAGTGCACGGCCCTGTCGGCGTCCCTGCTCACGCTCACGCTGGCCCTGCTGCTCACCTACGTCATCGGTGAGTCACGCCGAGCGCGCCGCCCGCGTGGAAGCCGCTCCGGGAGATTTGTCTTTTTTGTTTGCTGTGATTTAATTTAAATAAATATACGTTTGGCTGGAGGGGGCAGTGGAGGTCGGGCAAGACACTTCCTAATGAATAAAAAAAAAAGAATACGGAAACAATTTTTTATTGATTCAAATGGGATGTGCGATGCTTTAAAAGGGTCAAAGTATGCAGAATGGAAAAAAAACACAGTGAGTAGGAGAGAGGATCGATAGGGATCAAAGCGGGACTTCTGAAAATGTTCTACTACTACTTACTCTAAAGGAGTTGGCTTTAAACACAGCGGGCTACGTTTTCTAAATGTGATCCTCTGTAGGAAAGTCTGAATTTTAAATGAGCTATCCAGGACTGCAGCGCACCAAACCATTATTCAGTGATGAATACACACGTCCAGGAAGTACAAACTCATTCATTGTTTTTCTGTCTGGCTCGCACTCTTACATACACAGGCACGTATCTGTTCTTGTTTTTTGTCTATTTTTCATTTGGGTGACGCTTGGGAAACGTGTCAACAGGGGAATCTGGAAAGAAAATTTCCCCCCAAAAAAGTCAAATGAAAAACAAATCCTGCAGCCCGGTGCCGAATGGTGGTGTCACGGATGTCCCATACACCAGCCACAGTTTTTTGTTATTTATAAATAAATATACACAGCATAAATTGTACATATATTTGAATAAATATAATTTAATTGAGTAACTCTTTTGGATCTTTACATTCAAGAAAGCGGTGGTGTTCATTGATCGCTTCCAATTGCAACTCCCTCTTCACGGCCAACCTCAGCACACCGCCACGTATCCCAACCCTCCACCCAGCCGGTTCATTCCTCTCCCAGGCCGGTGCTCAAGGTCACGGCGGAGCAGGCGGGGGGGGCTGGGGGAGGTGGGGGATTGAATTAATCACACTGGAACACACATCACAGACAGACATCACACACACGCACACTGGCGAATTCATGCAGATTAATCCCCGGGCTGAACCGCGCGCTTCCATTAATGTCCCGGCCCCGGTAATTAGTGCGTTAGTGAGGAGTGTGAGTGATGACTCGGGGACGACATCACCTTTTAATTGGTGTCACGGTCCACTCCTGCCTGGCAATGATCGATCTCGGTGTTGACGTCGCCAAGACATATGGGATGTATAAGTACGGATGAAAAGTTATCCCTTTACATGAAAAAGATCCACATAGCGAGATTAAAGTGGCCGTGGCCTTAATGTCTTTGTCTGAGGGGACAGGTTGAGACGCAGGCTACCAGATGATTAGGTCCCCTCATTACGTAATGGCTGTGTCATTTTAACGAATTCATTAACAGACACTCACAAGAGGGAAAAGAAACTCCCCCAGTGGTTTTGCTCTTTTTCATCTTCATCAAATAACAGCCATGCTGATTTTTATTGATTTTGTCTCTCATTAAATCATGTTCGTATTGAATATTAATTTGCATCATCATAGTCATTATAACAAGAAACAGAATTGATTATCTTAAGCAGTGTTGGAAATATGATAATGAGTCATCCTTTATTCCAAATATAATCAGCTCCTGCAGGTTATTCTGGTTAATTTGGACATAATTAATATAGTTTCCCCCTGAGTAAGTTTCTCTATATAACTATACATGTTATTTTTTATTTTATATTTAATATTCATATATATCATTTTTCACCTCAGCCGAGCACAGCTGAGACCAATACTCAATGACTTGATTTGACCGTCAACAGAAAAAACATTTTCAGGCCCAAATACCAAATATCCCTTCATCTCCAGTTGCTCAGTTATGACGATACTTTTCTTTATTGTATGTCATCATAAAGTAAATATTTTAAGGGTTTTGTTGACACAACAGAAATAAGCATATTCTTCTACATTTAAAGAATTTGATTATTGGATTAATCTCAAAAATTATAACTGGATTGACAGACCAAGTTGCTAGTATTTTCATTTACAGCCGTAACTTTTGAGTAAGTTACTTTTTGTATGTTTTTTATAAGCGGGAAACCGCGGAAACCTCCGCCCGAAATAAGACACGTGCAACATAAAAAAATGATATTTTCCCTTTGCAGTCGTGCCAAGCTGGAGCCCGGCGCTTCACAATGTCAGAGATACTTCTCGTCCTCCTCCGAGAAAATCATGGCAGAGCAGCTGTTATATTTGGCTGATTCTTCTTCTCTTCTCATGACGCTCAGCCAAACTTTGCACATTTCACCGCACTCGTTCGTGGCTCAGCGTGCAACGGCGTAAGTTTGAGGTCGTAGTCACAATAAACACATCTGACGTTGATGATTTCCAGCAAAAAAAAATATATATATTATTTAGCCCGTTCGGCACCCATCTCAGATCACCAGAGGTCCTGCAGTTACATGTTCATTAACTTGGTGGCAAACTAACCCGGCAAATGATGAGGCAACAATATTATGTCTCAAATTGAGGTTTTCCAATTAGAACAATAATAGGGGGATGCGTGATTGTAGAGATTATGCCGTGCCTAAGTGATTGCAGCGCACTGTATGCCGCCTGTTGTGATTAGCTAAGGCAGGAGTCCTCACTGTCTTTACTGCCCTCTTTCCTCTCCTTCCATACCCCCCCGGTGCTGCCAGGCCAACGAATGGCTTTGTTAATTTGTTTATCTCCCAACGTGCCCCTCCCTCCTGCAGTCGTGGCTTGTTATTAAGCACAACCCGGCCATCAGATATGAGCAGCAGGCATTATGATTGCGAACGGGGCATTTAAGGAGAGATAGAGGACAGATTAAGATTGCATCTGTAATCTTGAAGAATATTGCTACTGACAAACTCTTCCAGTAAGTCGTTTTACTATTTCAAGCCTCATTTGAGTTCTGCCTCCACAAAACAAAACCACACAAACAACCTACCTACCAAGTTGTCAATAAAAATAAGCTAATTAGAGTATTTCCTGCATTAATGAATGCCATGCTGTTTTAAACAGTTACGGCCCTGGGTTGCTGAATCAAATATGAGGAGAGGGTGGAATATGTCAGTTGTGAAAGATAATCATCTCTATGGCAACAGGGAGAAGCTGTAGAGAAGCATGTAGAAAAAGATGTATTAAAATGAGCAAGTCAGAAGCAACCTGCAATCAAATAATCAGCCCTCAATCACATTTCACTTGCACACAGTGACACATTGTACACATCTAATTTATTTGAAATATTTTATTTGCAGCAATAAAGACACAGGAAGGACATGGGGTAGGGCCGGATGCAAGTCAATGGCATAATATTGGAATAGAGAGATGAACCGTAGATGCAGGGAGATGTTCATGTTTGTGGACAGTGTACACTTAAAGCTAAGATCTTCTTTATAGCTCTGTTGTGTAATACGTGCTGCTTCGGGGGTCCTGGCAGTTCCATAAAGAGCTAAATGAGTCATTAGTGGCTTTAAGTTCATTACTTTCACGCTATTTCTTTCAGTAAATCTGCTTTCACAGTTTAATGGCAATTCAAAGCATCTGCCCTAAAAGTTAGCCATTATTCACAGGGGGTCAAACCGAGTGCACCCAGCGACTGAACGCACAAGCAAAAAAAAAAAGAGTGGGTGTGTTGTGTACTACGTTCATTAGTACTGCAATAATGATCGTTTCCACTATCGATAAATCCAAAGATTGTTTTGGTTCCTCGCAGCCTCGGGTGATGCCTTCAAATGTCTTGTTGTGATTCGACTAACAGTCAAAATCCAAAGCTACTGAGAAAGAGAAAACAGCACACCGGAAGGTGCTGCAGCAAATATTTGGCTTTTTTGCTCACAGAATTACACAAACAATTGTATTTGTTTTCTGTCAACCCACTAATTTATTATTCAGTCAATTTGCATCAGATTGAATGTTTATGAAATGTGTCGGCTACAATAACCCTGAAACAGTTTGGTCCAATAGAACAACTGAATTGATCCATGGACAAAGGATCAACCATGTTTATTTGTAAAGCTAGAAATGTCAAATGAGATTTTTAAACGTGACGATTTAATGACGTAGGTCATTGTAAATTAAACGGCTTTTGGTTTTGCTCCGTTGGTTGGACAAAACAAGGAACAGTGAAGATTCATCGTTGCATTGACGTTGAGGCAATTTATTTTCCTTCTTACAGATTTTATATTTTATCATTTAATCAAAAAACGGATTAATTATGAATCTTAAATAACAGACTATGTGCATGGTGGCTTGAAGTGAATAACAGTACTTAAGTCGCTCCCTCTTGGTCTGGATTTCTCCTCCAAACGTCCTGTTCAGCCTGGTGTGTCTCAAGGCACAGTGCTGATTATAGCTTCTAATGAATTAAGTGCTTGTTCTATTCCATGGTGTTGACCAAGCCGGCTGACAAGTTGAATAATTACAACTGGGATCTCAGTATGGCAACCATACATTATGCCAAAGAGACATTTACAGAGACATGCACGTTCATATGACGATAAGGATCTGTGGAGACCGAGGACCATTATTATTAGACACAATTCTTTCATTTGTTTGTGTTTTAGCCCTTCATGTCCCAGAAACACTGAAAGAAACACTGAACTTTAAGGCCTCATTGAATTCAGTGCTTATAGACAATCATCAACAAGATCCAGACACAAAGAAAACCACTAAAATACTAAAGACAAAGGCAGCAAGAAAAGCTAATATTTGCAAAATAAAATCAAAAAAGCCACGTGCAGCTGTTGTATCATTTTTGTGGGACCACAGACAGCACAGGTGAGGGGAAACGTAATCATCTTTGCCTTGTTCATTGCTGCATCTTCCAACAGTCACACAAAAGGTCGTGGTGGTTGTTGGTATCTTTGTGTAACCGATCAAACTGCACCTGTGGGCTGTTGGTGATCTATGTTAAACGAATCGTGTCAATCATTAACCACCTTGTGAGGTGGATCAATTAGTCATGTTTGAATTAAAATAATTTGGGAAAATGTTGCCTTAGACATAAAGAAAGCAGTGAGGAGAAAAACATGG